CGTGATCTTGGCTTACTGCAACCTCCGCCTCCCAGGTTCAAGCAATTCTTCTGCCTCAGCCTCCTGAGTAGCTGGGATTACAGGCACCTGCCACCACATCGAGCTAATTTTTGTATTCTTAGTAGAGACGGATTTTCACTGTGTTGGCCAGGCTGGTCTTGAACTCCCGACCTCGTGTTCTGCCTGCCTCGGCCTCCCAAAGTTGTGAGCCACTGCGTCCAGCCAGGGACCCCTCTTTCTACAGGCATGTCTGCACATCGCCAAATCTGTGATGGATTCTCTGAGGTGGGGCCCTCGAATTTGTATTTTATAAACGCTCTATAAGTGGTTCAGTTCCATAGTCCTAACGACTATCAGTCTGATCTCTTTTGTTCTCCTTCACCATCCTTTCTTATATCAGGAGCTTATTTCCAGGAGGGAACATACTTTTCCTGAAAGGATTCCTCCTTAGTTCACACTCAGCTAAATGGCTGATTTTTAGAACCAGGGTCACTTATCTGATCCCAGAATCCTCAACACCATCTGTGGCCACCTTACCCGAACATGTAGCTGCAATTTTCTTGTTAGCAGCATCAGGGGCATGGGCCCAAGGGTTGGTTTCACGCACAGGCATTGCTACGGGTGCTAGAGCAGTATGGGCTGGCTTAGCAGCAAGCACATGGAAGGCTGAGTCAGTGCCATTAGCTACAATGGGAGCAGACAACATCAATGAAGTTAATTCATGCAGGGTGTACAAGTGAGCCCTTGGAGCTGGGTCAAGTCAGGTGAATGTACAATACTGGTGGAATGGTTAAGAGAGAAGAGTTAACCATGGGATAACTCTGATATCTTGCATTGGATGTACATACCATTAGGCAAAAAGGGGAATTAGAAGTTGTAATTTTTAAATGGTTATATAGATAAAGTCAAATGACTGTTCAAGCCTACAAAAACAATTTCAAATTAAGTTGAACAGAGCTGCTTTGTCTTAGGAGTAGCAAAAAAAAAAAAAATTCTAGATATAGATTAGCATTTGGCATAATGAAGTAGGTATAGCATTTCCCTCTTCTTTTTTCCAAAAGGTCAAATTATGCCATCAATAATAATGGGTTAAAAATAGGCCAGGCATGGTGGCTCATGCCTGTAATCCCAGCACTATGGGAGGCTGAGGCAGGTAGATCACTTAAGGTTAGGAGTTGGAGACCACCCTGGCCAACATGGCAAAACCCCGTCTCTACTACAAAAATTAGCTGGGTGTGGGGGCATGCACTACGTAATCTTGCTACTAGGGAGGCTGAGGCAGGAAAATCACTTGAACCCAGGAGGTGAAAGTTGCAATGGATCAAGATTGCACCACTGCATTCCAGCCTGGGCAACAGAGCAAGACTGTTTAAAAAATAATAATAATAGGGCCGGACGTGGTGGCTCAAGCCTGTAATCCCAGCACTTTGGGAGGCCGAGGCGGGTGGATCACGAGGTCAAGAGATCGAGACCATCCTGGTCAACATGGTGAAACCCCGTCTCTAC